GCAGGGATAAGGAAGACCAGCAGCAAGGCTTTGTTGCCTGACTCCAGTGGTTTGAAACCCTTCTGGCTTTCTGGGGGTGAAAGGGAACCTGGAGAAGAAACATAGGCAATGGGAAGCTGCCTGTGAAGCTGGGAACTGTCCCCACAGTGGCGTCGGACCCTCTGGGTGCAGAGTGTGAGCAGGAGCTCTGAGGAGATGGAGGAGGAAGCAGTGGCGCTGACGCTTTCCCTTGCTGCCCTGTCCAGCCCAAGTATCAGCTTTGCCAAAGTGTCCCTGACACACTCACTCACTGGGGCAGATCCGGGGGAGAGGGAAGCATGTCCCAGGCTTGTAGAGGGTTCTGCTTGGTTTGTTTTTCAATTAACTTAATGCAAATGTCCTCATTCAGCTGGTGCAGTTAATCCTTGCCCTGCTGCTCCTGTTGGGAAGGGGTCTCGTGCTGGCTCCTCTCCCTTGGTGGCAGGCACAGGCACGGAGCAGCCGTTTCGGGACACTTTGTCACCTGCCTCCTTATTTATTTGGCTGTCCGTGGCTCACTCCTGTCGGCGCGTCTCGGCATTCCTGGCTCTGCCGCCCTCCTCCCGGCTCCTGCGGATGGCTCTGGGAGGAGAGGTGCCTTCAGCCACCACTGCAGACACACGGATGCTGTCTGTCTGTCCAGCCTGCAGGGACGGAGGGGAAAGGCTGCAACTCTTCAGTTTGCACCAGAGGCTGGTCCTGGTGTACATGGAGCTGCAGCGGAGAGGGCTGAGCTCTCCCAAAGTCCCCGGCCTGGGGCCAGTGGCCTGTGCCATTCCCACCCGGAGCAGGGCTCTGCTGGTGATAGCTGCAGTCCTGGAGGGAGGGCCCGCTCCGGCCGCCTTTCCCACAGCTTCCCTGTGCTGCAGCCAGGGATGGAGCCGCTGCTCTCGTGTCTCAGCCTGGGCTGAAATCCCTCTGTGCCGCTGGGGAGAGGAGACCAGAGGTGCAACAGCAGCTCCCTGGGAAACAAAAGCCATGTTTACACCAGACAGCTTTTGGCTCACTGGCAGGTAGCATGACCCTGGGGAGCAGCCACGAGAGCCAACCTGCTCTTGTCCGGCACCGGGACAAGAAGCCAGCGGCCTCCCAAGGATCCAGCTTCAGGTCAGGCCCAAAGAGCCGTTCTTCTTCCTGCTTGCAGGTTCAGAGATGCCAGGAACTGCCTGAAAACAGAAGCCAACAGAGATCCCTTGGCAGGTGCCCGCTCCTCCCCACAGCACTTCCACGCACGCAGTTGGCACCTCTCTTCCCATGGCGGCAGAGCTGGGTGTCACCCGAGGATGGCACCTACCACAGCCTTATCCCTGCTGGGTGCTCCCCGCGCTGTTGGCATCAGCTGCCACCACCCTCCCTGCTCACACCGCTCCTGTGGGTGCTCAACCTGGGGTGAGCCCCATCCCCTTGGCCGAGGGGGGATGGACAGCCCCTGCACACCCCGTCCCCTCCCTCCCCGGGTCCGCAGGAAGAAGCCACGTAATGTACATTTCCAGAGAAGTTTTGGGTGTAAATCAGTGTATACTTGGAGAGGGAAAATTTTTCTATCTTGTAGAGTAGGTATTTTTATAGAATGAAGGTTGCTCATTTTTTTAATACTTTAAAGAAGAGAGAAATGTATCTGTGTATACACTAAAGCATATATATATATATATAAATATATAAATATGGGAGATCTGCCTTTCTCCACTTGGGATCTTGGATCCCCAGTTCTCAAACAATCGTCTTTTTTTTCCCTGTCTCTCACAAAGAGGTACTGTAACTGTAAATAAGCACCGGGGAAAAGTTCTAAGCACTGACTTGCACATTCACCATGCTTTAAAATCCTTATGGAAATAGAAACTAAAAACTGGACTTCCCAGAAATGTTCCTCTTTTCCCCGCCGGTATGTGAAGGAAGTTCCCTCCCCCCTCCTCCAAAAACGAAAGAGGCAAAACCAGTATTGTCTTAAATGATGTATCAATTCTTGTCCGATTAAAAGCTGTTACTATTCCTGCCCGGACACCTTCTTTCCACACGGATGTCAGTGCCACAGAGCATCCCAGTGCTGGCTCCCCAGCAGGGCAGGATGGGGGTGGAAATGCTCCAGCCCCAAAGAGGACCCTGATTTGGGGAGATGAGGATGGGGATACAAGACTTGAATGGCTCCAGAGGGGCTGGAGTGAAGGGGAGCCAAAGCCTCTGTGCAGGTGGGATGTGGGGGGATTCTCATCCCTGGTGGGATGAGGGACAGTCAGAGCTTGTACCTTCTCTGTGTGCCCTGCTGCTCTGGAGGGGTTGGGCTGACTGGGGCAGGCTGTGGCTTGGCGCTGGTGGGACTCACTGGGCTCTGCTCCAGGTGGGGACCCGGAGGCCTTCCCAAGCCCTCCTTACACTGCACTAAACCTCTCTGAGCACCCGGCTGCTGGAACTGCCCTGCAAATCCCTTAAACGCTCTTATCCGCCCTGCTAAGCTGCTCCACACCCCTCTGAGCTTCCCTCTGCCTGGAAGCTGCCTCACAGGGCTCAGGGCTGCAGAATTCCCGCTCTGCTCCCAGGGTGCCTCCGGATGGCTCCGGGCTGCTGCTCTGAACTCCTCCAAGCAGCCCCGCAGCACTCAGAGCTCCGAGGGCCTCTGTGTGCTGGGAAGTGCTTCCTGATACACCCTGAGAAACACCCCAAAGTGTTTCAGACTGCTCCATGCGGCACTGAGCAGCACCGAGGGGCCTAAAACATCCCTGAACATCTCTAAAGCACCTCTGTAGCACCCTGAACTTCCCAGCACCCCTCTAAACAGCTCTAGTGCACACCAAGACTTCTCTGAACACCTCTAAGACTGATTTTACAGCTCCTCTGAAAAGCTCAACCTCCTGCATCCTGAAGCTGATCTAGGAATGGGGGAAGTAGGTGACTGGGGGCATTGGTGCAGTGCTGGGTTGCCTCAAGGAGCTGCAAACCACCTCCAAGCAGCTCCAAGCTTGGGAAGGACAGACGCTGGCACAGAGCTCGAGCTCTTGAATTGCTCAAATAGCTCTCAGGCTCCTCAAACCAGCACTAAAAGGCACCAGGATGCTAAAACTGCTTAGAGCCATTCAAAGTAGCTCTCGAAGCCCTCTAAAACTCTTACAAAAGTCCTTGAAATAGCTCCAAATGGATCGTAGAGGTCTCGCAGCAGCTCCTCTGCGTGGCTGTGAAATGCCCCAAGTGCTCTAACGCTCCCTGAAAGGCCCCTGAACCTCCTCCAGCCCTCTCAAATGCGCCTCTCAGCAGCACTCAAACCTTCCAGGAACGCCTCTAAACTTCTCCAACCAGTTTGAAACCACCCTCAGCCCCTTCTGGGTGATACCAGAGAGGGGTAAGCAATCCTCAACCCGCTCCATGCTGCTCCAGAGCTGCTCTAAAATGCACCAACAATGACCTGTGGCTGCTCAGAAGCATCCAATTTCTCCACGGCCTCTGAAAAGGGCTCTAAGTGGGTTCAAACCTCTCCAGCCTCTTTGAAGCTGCTCTAGAAAAGCTTTAAAGCTCTGAAAGCTCTCCAGAGTCTCCAGAACAGCTCTGGAGCTGCCACAAGCTGCGCAGCGTGGTGCGGGCTTGGCATGGTGCTGGTGAGCTTCTGAGCAGCTCCAGGCAGCTCAGGGTTCATCTCCATTAACAAACGGAAACAAACCTAAATGCCTTTAAACAAATGTATTTGCTATAGGGTTAGAGGTTTGTGGAGCTTCTCTAGCTCCAAAGCTCCAAGGGGCCGCTGAGCTGGTTCCAGAGCACTGCTCTGAACACCACTATGGAGCTCCAGCTTTTCCTTTCCTTACAGTGGGATGCTCTGACCATTGACAGTGGGAACTGGCTGGCTCCGAACAAGGGTTGGACCCTGGTTGTGGTGCCAGGGTTTCAGCCACCCTAATGTCCCGGTGCCCCCACACTGCTACTGGCCTCAGTGGCAGCACCCCAGGATGAGCTTGAGGTGCTCAGCCAGTGCGGGCAGGATGTGGGATGCAGGTAGGGCTGCTGTGAGTACCCAGCCATCCTCCAGGCCCTGTCACCCACCTGGGTGGTCCTGTCACTGCACCAGCGCAAAGGAATGGGTGGAAGAATGAAAGGACAAAGCCAGTGGGAAAGCTGAGCTGCTCTCGGTCTGATCCTCATCCGGTGTGACCCCAAGGGCAGCAGCCCTCTCCCATCACAGTCCTCCCAGCACCCAAAAAGCTGCAGCATGGGTGGTGGGAGCCCATCCCACGGTGCCAGTGGGCACCTCCAAATGTCTGCACAGCCTGGCCACGACCAGGGCCACCACCACCATGTCCTGCACCCTGTGGGAAGGGGCTGTGTCCATCAGGACCCCATGGGGCTGGGGCCAGTGCAGGAATGTGAAAAGCAGGGTGAGGAGCTGGGCTCCCACTGCAGGACCCTGCTTTTTTAAGGGATTTCCAGCTCCTTCCACATCTGTTGCTGATGCCGGGATGGGACTGGGATGGAGTTAACCCTTGGCAGGCAGGGTAGGAGCGGGATGGATGATGCCCCGAACCCTATGCATCCCTCACCTGAGGTGCTCATGATCCCTGTGGTTGTTCCTCAGGGATGCTCCAGGAGCTCAGGCTGGGGACAGAGCCCCTGGCAGGGACAGCCACACCGGAGAACAATAGCGGTGAACCAAACACCCCCCACACCTAGCCCTGTCTGCGCCCGCGTGTGTTGAACCCTTGCTCCACGCTGGAAACCCCTGGGGGAGCTGGGGCTGCGGTGTACGGCCTGCCTGGGACCCCCCAACCCTGCCGGGACCCTCAGCCCGGCCAGGAGCCCCTGGCTCGGCGGGTCCCAGGCAGCACCCCCAGCGAGCAGACCCCAGGCAGAAGCTGCAGCAGCGGGGAAGCCGGGGCTGGTGCGATGGGAACAGGAGCAGTGGGGCAGGGCCCGGGGGTCCGGTTGGGGCGGGGGCTGCGGCAGCACCTCCCCCTGCCCTCCCCCCGCGCCGGTCCCCTCCCCTTCCCCTCCCTCCGAGGGCAGCCGGCGCCGTCCCGTCCCGTCCCGGGGCTCCGCTGCGCTCCCCCCGGCGCTGCCGCCGCCCCCCATGCGGGTCCCCCCCCTCCTCCCCGCCATGGCCCGGCTCTCCGTTAAGGAGCATCTGGACGGGATCCTCTCCGACTTCGAAGGTGCGGCCGGGGCTGCGGGACCTCCGCGGGTGGGGGGCCGGGTGCCAACGGGGGGGACCCCAGGAGGCAGGGTATGAGCCGGGGGGGAGGGGGTGGTTGATGCCGCTTGTGCCAGGCAGCTTGGGGGGGGGGATGGGATGCATCGGGGGGGGCTGCACGTCGGAGGGAGACGGGCTGTCCCCCAAGTCCCGCTCAATGGGGCACGGTGGGGGCTGTGTTCCCCGCCCGAGGCTGGGTATCGTGGGGAGGGGTGCTGCGCCTCGCGGAGTCGCGTTAGGGTGCTCATGGGGTGGGTGTACGCGACGGGACGCACGCTGCGCGGTGCCGGGGGGGGATGTGGGTGTTGGCACCCCCCTTGCTCGCGGTGTGCGGGCGGGCCGGGGGCTGCGGGGTGGGGGGTCCCGGGACGGGCTCGTCTTTCTCCAGCCCGCGATGATTCCCCGGCCGCTTCCCGGAGGCCGCGGCGGGAAGAGCCGGGAGCGCGGCCGGGGCGGGCGGCGAAACCCGACCCGGGCCGGTGCTGCCCGCGGCGGGGAGGAATGTGTGCACCTACCCCGGCACCTTAACCCCGGCTCTGCCGGGCTGACCCCACATCCTCACGCCCTCCGCATCTCCTCTGCAACACCCTTTCGCCCTGCGCCCCCCCCCCGCTGCAGCCCCCCATCACTCCGGACACGGCCTGGGGTCTGTGTGAGGATGGGTCAGGGGCCAGGGGCAGGTTTGGGGTAAAAAGAGGCGTTTTGGCGTGTCTTGGGCAGTGAGATGGATGCGGGGAGGGGGGACGTCGGCCCCATGGCCCCGGGCAGCTCTGGCCGGGAGGTGGAGCAGGGCAGGACCGGCGACAGAAATACCTGCCCTGGGGAGGGCTGTTATTAGCAGCGCCCGTGCCCCGGCCCCTGACCCCTGCCCGGCCCCAGGCACAGAGGTGAGCAGGGGAGGGGACCAGGACGGGACCCCCACCGCCCTTCTGCCCTCAGCACCGTGGCCAAGCCAGGGGGCCAAGGAAGAGGAGGGTGAGGACAGCTTCGTGCCGTTGGGTGCTATGCTGGGGCAGGCTGCCACAGAGTGGGGATGAAGGGGCCTCCCCACAGCAGGCAGCCACCCGCTGCTTGGAACAGGGTGAGGAACCTGCTGCTGGCACCAAAGGTGCCATTCAGCTGAGCTGCTTCACGGCAAAGGAACTTCCTTTCTGCAGGGGCTTTGCGGGGGTCCCGGCTTCTCAGAGCTGCCGTGGTAGTGCCAGGCAATGGTGCACGGGGCTAGAGGACCACCCACCACAGCCAAGCGTCCTGTGACTTCTCTGTCAGGAGGCTTTGAACGGGAGCCGGGTGCTGTGATGCCCATGGGGTGGTTGGGGGGGATCCATGTGGGGGGCACATCCCCACCAGCAGCCCGGGATGCCGGCTTGGGGTTGTGGTTACCGTCGCTGCTGCAAAGCTGCATGGGAGGCATGACTGCAGCCCCCTGCATGGCTGCGTGTAGGGATAGCTCTGGCCATCAGCAGGCGTCAGGGTTAATGCCATGAGAGGGGGTAGGAATCCTCCCTAGCTTGGCTGTTGGGATGGATGTAGAGGGAGAAGGTCTGTGGTGGAGGATCCGGTTACTCGGGAAGGATCCCTTACAGGGGAATAAAGCAAAGGATCTCTTACAGGGGAATAAAGCGGGCAGTGTGCGGCACCGGCCGGCCCGGCACAGATGAACCGGGGAGACAATGCGGCAGCGCCGGGAGGCCGCCGGCGCCGGGCTGGTTTCCCATGCGGAGTGGGCTCACAGCGCACCCGGCTGCACGGGGGCACCTCCATGTGCTGGCACGGCTGGGGCGGGGGCAGAGCCTACCCACGGGTGCCATCGGGTGCCACTCTCATGCCACCATCTCTCTCTCTCTCTGTCCCCAGCGCTCAAGAAGTCGTTTGAGGCAGAGGATGGGGACGAGGCACCCTGCTCCCCGCTGGTGTCCTCACTGCCCTCGGGCACTGACGGGAGCCCCCGGCCGCTGCAGCCCGGCCACCCCCCCTGCTCCGGCCGCGCCGCCAGCCCGGCCCCCAGCCCCGTGCTGCGCAGCCTGCTCAGCACCGGCCGCGCCACCGGCACCGGCGGCGCCCGCGTAGCCTCCTTCCAGCCCTGCCAGGGCTTCGCCGCAGGGCCGGGCAGCGACGGCGAGAGCCTCCGCAGCTCCTCCTCCAGCCTGGAGAGCCCCGCGCCCACCGGGCTCCCCCCGCCGCCCTGCACGCCCCCTGCCTCTGGCCCTGGCCTGAAGAAAGTCCCGTCCCACGGCAGCGTCTTCCCGGTGGAGCTGGAGCACCCCCTCGGCGGGACAGCCACCAGCCACGGCTCGCTGCCAGCGCTGGACCTGCACATCGCCGAGGAGCCGGGGATGGGCACCTCCCTGCCAGACCCCCTGCTATGGGGCGCTCCGAGCCCTTCGACACAGCCGCACACCCGGCAGCCTTCCTCCTCCTCCTCCTCCAGGGCCCCAAACGATGGCATCGAGGCAGCGCTGGGGCTGGCCGAGGGGCCAGGGGAGCGGGATGCGGCCCTCTGTGCGCTGCCCCGGCCACAGCCGAGGGTCAGCCTTGGTGCCAGCCCCATCCCATCCCACCGGTCCCCAGCACTGCCCCGGGGCCAGGGTGGGACAGCCCCAGCCACCGCTGCTGCCCCTTCCCCGGGGAGGGCCGAGGGGCCACCACTAGCCCCACAAGCCGCCACCTTCAAGCTTGTGTCACAGCCACAGACGGTGCAAGTGAGCTCCCAGCCTGCTTTCCTCGAGGGGCTGGTGCTGGTGCCGGCACTGGGGACCCCAGCAGTGCCTGGTGGAGTCGGGATGACCCCCCTCAACGCTGGGCTGCAGGGACCCTGCATGGTGGCAGAGGCTCCGGTGACTCCAGAGCACGGTAGGACTCGCTTCTGTCCCCTTTCCCCACCAGGTCTCCCTTGCTGGGCAGAGTGTTCCCGTTGAGCCAATGTGGGGGTGAGGGTTTGTGCAGGGTGATGGTGACGCTGCGGACAGGATGATCCCCACCAGCTCCGAGGGGCCGTTGGGTGCATGGCGAGGGGGCTGTACGTGTGGAGCTGAGCGTGGTGTTGGCAGCGCTCCCAGCCCTGCGGTGCCTGGCTAGCTTCCCGTGCCGCCCTGGCACTGATTGTTTTCCCCAGTGCAGGGAGACAGGTTGGGACACATGTGGCCCATCCGCAGCAGCGCCAGGCCTTGCGCGTGCCGGCTATCGCCACGATCTTGTCCCACGTCCAGCACTTTCTTCCCTTCTCATCCCTCTCCTCACCTTGGCAGAGGGGTGGATCTTGTTACTCCCTACCGGGGGGGGGCAGAGGAGGTGGCAGGGGGCCAAGGTGCACTGGGACATGCTTGGCGCACGCTGGGGAGAAGATGCTCCTGGTGCAGATGTGCCCTTGGCTCCCACCATGCCCGCGTGGGTGCAGCCAAGCCAGTGCCCTCCCACGTGTGGGGTGTGGGACCCCTTGTCCTCCTTCCCGGTGGCTGCTCTGGGGAAGGCTGGAGGATGCCGGGGTGGCAGGAGACGGTGGTTGGGGCTCATTGGTGTCATCAGAGCTGCCGTCGCCGTGCTCTAAGTACTGACGCCAGCAAAGGCATCCATACATCTGCTCCGGGCTGGTGTGAATCATCTCCCAGCAATGCCTGTGGCCACACTGCCCAGCCGGCCTGGCTGCCCTGCCGACCGACCGGCACTGCCCGCGGTACCAGCCAAGTGCATGGACAGAGCTGGAGATGAGCCGGGGTGATGGAGACATGGGGGGACAATGCTCAGGACCCAGCTGGGGTGATGGGGATGTGGGAGGATGATGCTCAGGGCTGAGCCAGTGTGATGGGTACATGTAGGACAATGCTCAGGACCAGTCTGGAGTGGTGGGGATGATGCTTGGGGATGAGCTGTGGTGATGGAGATGATGCTCCGATCACTGATGGTAATGGCAAGGTGGCTGAGCATGGCATACAGAGCAGGCCATGAGCCATCAAGCAGCGTGTGGGCACCGTCTGCCTTGCAGATGGCATGGTTGGCAGGCACTGCTTGGGCATGGCAGTTTCTCTGCCAGGAAGAGGTGTGGATGTACTGCTTCCTCTGTTTGGACCAGAGCAGCTCCCAGCCAGTGCTACCCATGGTGTCCGTGTGGCGCGTCAGCCCCGCTCCCCATGGCAGTATGCACAGAGCGAGCCACTGTGTTTCACTTCCACACGGAGCGAGCCTGGGTCACCCACGCAGGGCTCGGGGCGAGGAGGAGGAGGAGCAGAGGAGGAGCCGTAGGCTGCAGCCACCCTCCCTGTCTGCACCCCAGGAGCCATTTGGCCTCGGTGACCAGGTCTTGGTAGCAGCAGCCCCGGCTCTGGCCAGCTCGCCCAGGTAGGAATGGCATTGGTCAGGGTGGCAGTGGGCAGGGCAGGGTGGCAGTGGGCAAGGCATGGTGAGAGTCCTCAGTCCCTGCCGGGCAGGCAGTGCTGTGGGGCACAGGGTTTCACTCCGTGGTTCACTTCTGCTTCTGCTCACCACCAGCACGCGGCGGTCCCAGCCCTGTGCTGTGGTTCCCACAGCCAGGCAGGCTGGCTCTGGGTCTGGCTGCAGATGGGGTTTGTCACCACTTGTCCCCTTGGGTTGTGCTTGGCACTGGAAGAGGCACCAGCATGCCTGGGTCATGCTGGTGGGTAGAGCTGTGGTGAGCAACTCACCGGTGTGGGGGGCACCGCTCCCTCCATATCCCCAAGTCCTCCATCCCTTTGCAGAGGGCTCAGCTCCCTCTTGCCCACCCGTTGGGAACCACGCTCTCCCCATCCGATGTCCTGTTTGGTGCAGCAGTGAGTGGCTGGGACAGGAGCGCCTCTCCCAGCACCCTCCACCCCATAAACTTATTACAGGGCAACCAGCCAATTAGCCCTGCATCAGTCATTAAATCCATGGAGGACACCATGGACCTGGGACTGCTTGTCCCTGCCTGGAAAACAAGAGCATCCTTAATGAGTCCTGGAACAGGTCTGGCTGCAGGAGCCATTAGCCCTGGAGGTGCATGGGGATGCCAAAGAGCTTCCACGTGGCTGTGGCTGCCAGCCGTTGCCGATGGGGCTTTTCAGCAATGAGGCCAGGGACATGGGGGGGCTCCAGCCCCACAAGAGGAGGCAGCTGTGGGTGCTGCACTGCGGGGAGCACCCCAGGGAGCTGGGGCTATGATGCAGGCACCACATCCTGCCTGCAGTGCACAGCATCCCTGGGTGGCTCCAGGCAGTGGCTGCATCGCTTGGTTCTGGATGTGTCCCGGCAATCGCTGGGGGCTGGCAGGGACCAGGGTGGGTGTACAGGGGACTGGTGTCCCCTGGAAGTGGTGGCAGGCCCAGGTCAGCATCAGGGAGGTCCTACCTCCCTGCCTGCCTGCGGGCCCTTGCCCCCCCTGCTGGGCGTCAGCGCTGTCACCAGGAGACCCCCCAGGTGTTTCACTACCTCCGAGGAACACCCTGACCCACAGAGCACGGAGAGGGGAGCCCCAGCCGTTCCCACCCCCACCACTGTCCCGGGCGGTGGGTTTGTACCCACCAGTGGGTACAGGGTGCTAGGTGCCCCCTGGGACGCTACTGCCAAGGCAATGGGTATGTCCAGCTCCACCATCTGGTACCCTGGGCTGGCTCAGGCTGGACACTACACGTGTTCCTGTCCCCGGGTTGCGTGGCACAGGGCCGCGGGCTCGGCAGGGTTTGGCTCCTTCGGCCCCCTCGGCCTTCCTCAAGCTGCCACTCGAGCCTCGCCAATGCTGGGAACTGGCTGGCACATATGTGGCAGGCTGCAGCGTGGGGGGGCGCAGGTGCCGTGGGGCACTGCGGCAGTGCCACCACCCCACACTCCACCTCACCATACCGGGGCTGGGCATGGGTGCCGCTTGGGGGGCACAGGGTGACAGCGGGGATGGGTACCCAGAGCCGAGCGCTCACATGCCCCTTCGGTGCCACCCGTGGGTGTGCTGGGTGCCGTGGGGTGGGAGGAGGCATCCCCGTGGTGGGGTGGCACCGGCAGACTTAGCGCAGGGGCTCGGCTGTGCGGGGAGGGGGCTGCGAGGGGAGGGAGGGAGCAGGGAGGGATGTTGCCATGCTGGTCATGCGTGGGAGCCGCAGCCTCGCCGGAGCTGGGTTTGATGCCAGCCGGAGGAGAGGGGGCCGGGCTGCGGCGCTCATGGGGATGGGGATACTGGCGGCGTGCAGGGGACCCCCTCGGCCATAGCGGGGTGCTGAGAGAGGGCACCGCCGCGCCGAGGTAGGACTGAACAATGGCTGGGTCGGGCAGCAGCGGGAGGAGGAGGAGGAGGATGAAAGGGCTCGGGGGGCCCCTCAAGCTGCTGCACAAAAGGCTGGGGCGGGTGCGGGGCTCTGGTAGCCCCGAGGCTGGGCACGGCAAACCATGCATGGCCCCGGGGTTGTGCCGGTGCCTGCGCTGCTTCTGCCAAGCACCCCGGGACCGCAGGCAGGTGCCCCTCTCCACGGCAGGCACCGGTGGGTATTATGGGGGGTGGCAGGTCCTGCCCCACGCCCGGAGCCCCCGAGTGGGAAGCCGATGGGACGGGCAGGGTGGTGTGGCCACCTCGAGGATACCACTGTGGCACATTCCCGTCCTCCTCTGTCCGTGGGCTGCCCGTTGCCATGCCGAGCCTCGCCGGATGCCAGGAATGTGCCGGGGCGGCTGCTGCCAGGGCAACGGCGCTGGCAGAGGGGCCTGGGCTCACCCGGCTTTGCCCACCCGCGCAGGGAGCAGCCTGGAGCCTGAAGAGCGCAGCATGGAGCCGCCGGCTGAGCCGGAGGAGGAGGTGCCCATCACCACGGCGCCCGGCCCGGCAGGATGCCAGCTCTTCGGTTACGTGGGAATCGAGGCTGTGCTGGACCAGATGAAGATCAAAACCATGAAGACGGGCTTCGAGTTCAATATCATGGTTGTGGGTGAGTGCCAGGCACGGGCTTCATCCTGGCTAGGGCAGGAATCCCAGCTCTGATGTCACCATGCCAGAGGGAGTCGTGCAAGGGTTTTAAGGAGCAATAAGTTGAAGAGGAGCAATATCCCATACCCATAATGCAGTGATGCTGGTGGGTGAGATCAGCTTAATCTCTGGGATGTTCCCAAATAGGTACTAAGGAGTTACTGCCTTGGGAATAAATCTTTTGGGGAGATAGACCAGAGCTATCCCAACCTCTGGGATGCTCCCAAGTAGGTACCAAGGTGCTATCATCCTGGGGAATAAGTTCATTGGAGGGACAAACCAGAGCTATCCTGACCTCTGGGATGCCCCTGAATGGATCCAGAGTGGGATTAATTTCTCATGGGGGACAAACCAGATCTGGCGCATCCCTGCAGGGCAGAGTGGGCTGGGGAAGTCGACAATGGTGAACACCCTCTTCAAGTCCAAGGTGAGCCGCAAAGCCTCGCAGCCGGGCCAGGAGGAACGCATCCCCAAGACCGTGCAGCTGCAGTCCATCACCCATGGTACAGTCACCACCACGGGGTCGTGATCCGCCAGCCCTGGGGAGAAGCAGGGGGCGCTGTGTCTGAGGCTGCACCCGTGGCCTCAGAGCCTCCACCGCAAATCCCCTGCTGCTCCCTATGTTTGGTCCCCGCTGACCCACATCTCTGCCCCACAGTCATTGAGGAGAAGGGTGTGAAGATGAAGCTGACAGTGACAGACACGCCAGGGTTTGGGGACCAGATCAACAATGAGAACTGGTAGGACGCTTTGGGATGCAGTATCCCAACTTGGTGAGTGGCAGTTTTGGGTGAGGGTTGAGCTCAGATGCTGTCTCCCAACTCCTCATCCTCAGCTGGGACCCCATCATCAAATACATCAACGAGCAGTATGAGAGGTACCTGCGTGAGGAGATCCTCATCACCCGCAAGAGGAAGATCCCGGACACCCGGGTCCATGGATGTGTCTACTTCATCCCTCCCACAGGTCACTGGTGAGTCCCCACTCACAGCACCCACGGGTGCTCCCTGCTTGGTGTTGTGTGTCACCCCGGTGATGGTAGTAGTGTCACCCTGGGGTGGTGGTGGTGTGGTTGCCGTGGGGTGATGCTGGTGGGGTCACCCTGGGGTGATGGTGGCCCTTGTCAGGCTGCGCCCACTGGACCTCGAGTTCATGCGGCGGCTCAGTAAGATTGTCAACGTGGTGCCGGTGATCGCCAAAGCCGACACACTTACACTGGAGGAGCGAGCGGAGTTCAAGCAGCAGGTGAGGACAGGACCCCACTGAGCTCCTAGGGTGCCCCATGTGCCCCTCAGCCCCATCTCAAGCCCTGTATCCCGCAGATCCAGGAGGACCTGAAGACCCACGCAATCAGCGTGTACCCGCAGGAGGACTTTGACCAGGACCCGGATGACAGGGTGCTGAACGACAGGATTCGGGTGAGTGCTGGGATGCTGGGACTGAGGATGCCAACCCCTGGGGACCACAGCAGGGCTGAGCACAGCACCCTGCTCTGCACTGGCAGGAGAATATCCCCTTTGCTGTGGTGGGAGCAGACCAGGAGCACCAGGTCAACGGCAAGCGGGTGCTGGGCCGCAAGACCAAGTGGGGCATCATTGAAGGTGAGTGGAGCTCCTCACATCCCCAGCCATAGGGGGGGTTGTCTGCTCGGGGTGTAAGGAGCAGCACCTATGGGTGCATCCCTGCCTAGGGGTGCGGCATGGTGCTGTGCCAGTGCTCTGATGGTACCCAGAGCCTGTGGGATGTGCATCCTGGGATCCCTCCACCTGCTGCCCCTCTGCCTTGCTTTGCAGTGGAGAACCCGACACACTGCGAGTTCCCCCTCCTGCGGGATCTGCTGATCCGGTGAGCAGGGGATGGGGTTGGGGGTGCTGCGCCCCATGGAGGGGACAGTGGGGCGATAGGGCTGTGACCTGACGTTCTCCCTCCCCGCCGCCACTCTGGCAGGTCCCACCTGCAGGACCTGAAGGACATCACCCACAACGTGCATTACGAGAGCTACCGCGTGCGGCGGCTGAACGAGAGCAAACGCCCGGCGCTGAGCCCCCTCAACGGGCTGGCTGGCAAGGGCGAGGCTGGCAGCGAGCTCTGAGCCACCACGTATCCCCCCGGAGCCACCCCTGCGCCTTGCCTGGGGTAAGGAGCCCCCCAGCAGTGCCAGCCTGCCCTGGGCCAGGTCCCTTGTCCCCAAACACAGACCCTGTTGGACCCTGCATAATGGTAAAGCTCAGCCTGCAGCTCCCAGCCTTCACCATCATCATCCTTCTGCTGGACTTCCCACCTCTGATGTGCCACCACTCTCCTGTGCTACTCTGGCCACTGGGACCATGGGGCAAGAGACAGACACCCCTCAAATGTGCTGCTGGGGTGTGGGGTGCCAGCACCAGCCAGGCACCCCAGGGCAGTGGCAGTGCTGTGGTGGTGCCATAGGTAGTTGGGTAGCAGGTCCCCTCCCTGCGGTCACCCCATCTGCCCTGCCCGGTGACGGCAGCTGCCATGGCCGGACTTTGAGCCACTTATCGGTGGCGGAGGTTCCGGACGGGTGTGGAGGTGCCAGGAGCGGTGTGAAGGTGGCACCCACAAAGGTGTGGGGGGCTACACCCAGCTGCTGCCTGCTGGGACACCCCCTGCTAGGGCACCACCACAGGGTGCATCCCCCCCAGCCCCTCAGGCGGACCCCACAGCCCTGGCACAGTGTAGGGATGGGAGTGTCGGGGGTCCCCCCAGTAATCTGGGGGTACATATAAGGCTCCTTTGTGGCTTCCGCTGTGGGTGCAGTGTCAGGACGGTGGCACCCAGTGGCTCCCTGTCCCCCCCTGCCTCGGCCCCACCGCAGGGCTCGGAGTCACCGTGAGCACCAACACCCTTCGCCCGGCCCCATGTTAATGATCCACCCGCCTGTGCTGCAGCCAGCAGCCACACTGGTGAGCGCGCGTGGTGTGGAGCTGGAGCTGGTGGAGGTGGCAGCAGAGTCGGGCTCTGCAGCACAGGCAGCTCACGGGGCCAGTGGCTCGCTGCCCCGCGCCACACCCTCCATCCTGCACCCCAATAAGAGCAGACGCCATCAGCACCCACTTCCCAGCACGCGGTGTGGCTGGGAGAACTGGCTGGGACCATGGCGGTAGCCACGGTGAATCTCCGCGCTGTCACCTCCTGGGTGGGCATTGCCCGGCTCTTTGCCATCGTGTTGTCCTGCATCGCCTTCAGCTTGGTGGCCTCCACCAGGGACCTTGGGGGTCCCTATGGGACGTGGTGCATGTTCACTTGGTGCTTCTGCTTCGCTGTGACACTGCTGGTGGTGCTGCTGGAGCTGCTGGAGCTCTACCCCAAGCTGCCGCTCTCCTGGGATGACTTCACCTCGGCTTTCTCCATGCTGGCGACATTGATGGTCTTCACCACCTCTGTGATCTTCCCCTCCACCTTCATCATCAGTCCCTGCAGCGGCAGCAAGTGTGCCCGGCAGGCCGTGGCCACCACCGTGTCCTGCCTCTGCTTCCTCGCCTATGCCATCGAGGTGGGGCTCACCCGTGCCAAGCCAGGGGACATCAGCAGCTTCCTCTCCACCGTGCCTGGGCTCCTCAAGGTCTTTGAAGCCTACGTGGCTTGTCTCATCTTCTCCTTGCTGGATAGCTTTAGTTCGGAAGCCGGCCTGCAGTGGTGTGTGGCTGTCTACTCCATCTGCTTCATCGTCACCCTCCTCATCATCATCTTCACCATAGGCCGGTGCCTCACCTACATCCCCTGCCCGCTGGAGAAGATGCTGGTGGTGTACAACGCCCTGGCCCTGATGATGTACATCACTGCCACCATCCTCTGGCCCCTCTACAGCTTCAGGGGGAGGAGCCGCCCCCAGAGCTGCGGCAGGAACTGCTGGTGGAACAAGCACCTGGGGGTCACCTTCCTCACCATCTTCAACCTCATCGCCTACCTGGTGGACCTGGTCTACTCCACCAAGATGGTCTTCATCAGGGCCCCTCCATAAGGGCTGCAGGTGGCCATGCTGGGGTGAGGGTGGTGGGATGCAGCTGGGTGCCAGTGGAGCTGAGGAAGAGGCCGGACACCTCGGAAAGCTCCATCTCCCCATGCCAGAGTGGAGAGCCATGGGTGCTCCAGGGGGTGTGCTCAGCTTGGGGACCCCCAGGCTGCCTGGAGCTGGGGAGATGCACCAGGGTGCTCCCAGGACCCTGGAGCTGGGGGCTTTGGGATTAAATTGGGTCGGTTTTCACTTGCTTCTGCTTCCTCTTTCTTCCCCCTTCCTGGTTTTCTGCAGGATTCTCCCCAGCAGCATGGGGCACTCAGGGGTACTGATGGCACTGAGGGGACACTGGGGGTTGCCAGCAAATCCTCTTTTTAGCTCCTTGTTGACTTGGAGCCAGAGGAAAGCAGGGCATGACCAGGAAAAACCTAACCCAGATGCCTTTCCCTTGGCACCTGCACAGGACCCTGCGGAACGGGTTCCAGAGGAATGTGGCTGCTGGGGGGGCTGAGAGCCTGCCAAGCCCTTGTCACTAGAACCACCAGGTCCTGGTCACCACCACTGTCACCCAGCAGGAGCCCTGCTGGAGTTGGTCCTGGCTGTAGAGGTGGGCTCCTGTGGGCTCCACAGGTGGGAGACCTGTGTCTCCTGCATTACCCTTTGGGGACTTCCTGGGGGGACATGGGGAAGGGATGGCTGTCACTCAGTGCCATCAGAGCTGGGGTTGGAAGCACGGTGGCACCGCAGGGTGGGAAACCAGGAAGAAGGCAGCAGCATGGTGAAGGCAGATAGCGTTGGGTGCAGGCACGTAAGGTGTGCCCGCAGGCATTGCTCCTAGTACGGCACTCCCGGATGTGGGATATGTGCCCATGGGGCACCCCAGAGGGTTTTGGGGCCACTGTCCCCAGCTCTGCCACTGCTTGCTCTGGTTCTACTGCAGCTGGGTGCCCATCCCCACCACCTCAGGGCTGCTGAGTGCTATGGAGCAGCGTCACCAACACCATGAGATGGCACAGACCAGCTGCCCCACGGTGGTGAAAGAGCCCAGGCTGAATCTTTGGCACCACAGGGCACTCATGAGTGCCATGGTGCCTGGGCAGTACGACCTCCGTGTCCCGTGCCAGAGCCACTGTAGTAGCGCCAGCTGCAGGGTGGCCTGGTGGGTGTCCCCACAACAGCCATTGCCGGGTGACTGCAGCACCCTGGCATGGCAGGGGCTGCTCCCCTGCAGCAGGCAGCCAGGCTGGAGCGTGACGCGGTGCCTTGTTCACACCGAGCGGTGTGGATGGGCCGTTGCTCTCACCGGATGGGACTGTTTGGCTTTGGCTGGCAGTGCTGGCATATGGGGCACGATGGTGCTGGTCCTTAGCTTGCAGTGGGGTGTAGGGGACTGCAGGGCAGGGGGAGGTTTGGAGAGTCCCAGCTCCCTACACCCGGCTGGGGACCCCGGAGCATCTCCCTGCCGGGGCACACAGTGACTGCCGAGGGACCCCGGGAGCAGCCAAGCCCCGGTGGGTGCAGGGAGCCGCGGTGCCGGTCTGGGCTGTGCCACGGATCCGTGGCGCTGTGCCGTGCCGTGTCAGAGGGCCTCCCGCTGGTGGTGCCCTTGTAGCGTGATGCTGGTGCAGGTGGGGTGCTGTTGCCGGTGCAAGTGCAATGCCAGTGAGGTGCCAGAGCCTGTGCGGCATCAGTGCAGAGCCGGTGTAACGCTGGTTCAATGCCAGGGCAGTGCCGTGCCGGTTCAGCGCCGACTCAATGCCGGTGGGGTGCCGGTGCATTCCTGCCCCTAGGGGTCAGTGTGCCGCGGTGCGGGGGGCGGTGCGCGGGGCGGTGCGGGGGGCGGCCCGCTCCTGCGCACGGCCCGGGACGGCCGGGGCACGGAGGAGGCGGCGGCGGGGAGTGGGCGCTGCCGCGGGCCTGGGTAAGTGCGGGCGGAGAGGGGGGCGGCGGGAGCTCCCGTCCCGGGAGGGATGCGCGGAGATGCCGAGCCGGAGGCGGGCGGTGGGGAGGGAGCGGCGGGCTGGGGAAAGCGATGCCGATGCTGCCGGTCCCGGGCATCGCCCAGCGCAGCCGGAGCCCCCGGGCGCACGCCGGGCGGTATGTCCGTACGCCCGCCCCGGGCAGCCACAGCCCCTGCCGCGCCGGTCTGAGATGCTCCGGTGGCGGGACGGCACGCGCAGCCCGGCTCTAGCCCTCAGCCCTCCTCCCGGTCAGCAGGGTGCTCCCGCGTCCCACGGGGATGCCCCAGTGCCTCCCCGTGTCCTCCAGGGACGCCCCTGTGTTCCCCAGGGATGCTCCTGTGTCCCCAGCCGGACAAGGTGCCCTCAGACAAGACCCTGTGTGAGACCCCATGTGCCCCCTCCAAAGCCTGATGCCCCGCTCAGGGTGATGCCCCGGGGTGCTCATGTCCCCTCCCTGCCCCATGGAGCTGGAGATCACAGCTAGGAGCCCCCAGAGCTGCTCCATTATCTACCCTAAGCATCCCTGGGATGTATCCCTGGAGGGGGGGGGCAAGGGGGTGAGCAGGGCAGCCTGGAAATACTGGGTGTGATGGGTGCTGGGGGGCAGCCGTGGGGGGGCTGGGGAGCGCCTTCCTCGGGAAGGGACCTCCCACACCAGAGACATGAGCACGGGTGCTTCCCGGGAGCCCCGGACCAGGTGGGTGCCCCCAGGGTGGGTCCCCATGGGCATCAGCATGTTGGATCCCATCCCGGCATCCCTGCTGGCCACTGGTTGGGTGTGGATGTGGCACCCCGAAGGCATGGCACCGTATCTTGTGGGGGATGCGGGTGCTCCAAGACAGATGTATAGGGAAGGGAAGGGAGTGTGTGTTTGCCCAGCAGGGAAGAGGTTGTTAACGCCAGGGGGTTTTGGGGTGTCCCCAGCCGGGTACACCCAGACTCATCCTCGTACTGGTGACCTCACACCACTGCCATGGCAACGGCTCATGAAGTTGCCGGTATCCTCTAGCATGGGGTGATGGGATGGGAGCATGGGGAAGCTGCCTCGTGCTCACCACCCGCCCTCGGGTCCCCCAGAATGAGCTGTGCCCCCACCAGCACCCCAACCTCCGCCTGACACTGTGACCCTGTCACCATGCTCATCAAGGAGTACCGCATCTGCATGCCGCTCACCACCGAGGAGGTGAGGAGGGATGGGGGGAAAGGGGGTGTCGGTTGGGAAGGGGGGTGCAGTGGCAGGGTGTCTCCAAGCCCCTGGGTGCCCAGGATCCACCGATGGAGAGAGCTGTGGGTGGGGTTACCCACAGCAGTGGGTTGACTACTTGGAAAGGGGCTGGGGGATACGGTGGCCCCTTTCCCATCTCTTCATGGCATGGCTTGTGACAGGGACCTTGGCTGAGCCACGAGGGTGAGCTTCAGCCATGGCTGCTGGGCTTGGGATGCTCCGTGCATTGTTTTGGGGTGCAGAGCAAGGACATCCCATCCCTGGCCACAGTGACCTTGGGACATGGAGCCCAACAGCAGCACCAGGGGTCTGCTTGGGGCAACCCAGGCCCAGGACCACGGGATGAACCGGTGGGCAAAGGGCACCGGGATTCAGGTGCTCCGATGGGGAGCCCCGTCTCAATCACTGCTCCAGCAGGGAGCTCGAATTCCCAGCAGCAAGTCAATAGCTGGCAGTCAGCAGCATTCCTGGACAAAGGATGCTCCTGAGCACTGATGGGGCTGTTTTGGAATCCGCAGCCATGGTGCATACATTGGGCAGCACCAGCTCTCCCCACGCATGGGGTTGTGGTCACACTACAGGGAGGTTTTCAATGGGGCAGGGAGGGGCTGGTAATGGATGGAATCTTCAGTGGAACAATAAAGCACTCATTGCACAGCCGCATCCTCAAATACACATGCATACATATCCATATCCATACCTAGGTGTAGTTTTCCCTGGATGCCAGGTAGCTTGCTGAGCACAAAGCCTTCAAGCATTCTGCAAGGCACCTGAACAGTGCGGAGGAGCTGGGTAGTTGCAACCCAGCTTCACCTAGGCACTGGAGCAGCCATTGGGCAGGGATGCTGGAGAAGGGTGCCCTAGGAGACCCCTGCCTGCTGCACAGCACTTCGTCTGTCACCCTTTGCTCCGTGCCTCAGTTTCCCTGCTCGGTGGTGTCTCCGGAGGGTGCAGGGGAGGGGTGGCACTGAGTTGGGTGCTGTGGTTGCAGTACCGCGTGGGGCAGCTCTACACCATCAGCAAGCATAGCCACCAGGAGAGTGAGAAGGGCGAGGGCGTCGAGGTGGTGAAGAACGAGCCCCACGAGGACCCCATCCACGGCCACGGCCAGTTCACTGAGAAGCGCGTCCACCTCTCCAGGTGAGGCCCTATCCCTCTCTCCTCCACAGTTCCCAGGAATATCCATTCTGGTTGCTTGGCACCCTGCAATGGGGCTGCACCCGTCTCCCAGGGGTGCACCTATGTCCTGGAGTACACCCATATTTGGGGCCTGCACCCAACTTTGGGGGCTTCACCTGTCTCTCAGGGTATGCCCATTTCCTGGAGTGCGCATATCCTGGGGGGCTGCACCCACCTCCTGGGGTGCACCCATCTTCCAGGCATGCACTCTGCCATCTTAGGGGGCTACACCCATCACTCAGAGTGAACCCATCACCCAGGGTGGACCCATCTTGTGGGCTACCCTCCAGGGTGCACCCATTTTCTGGGGTGCCCCCCTGTCTGGGGTCCACACTCACCTCCTAGGGTGTGCCCATCTCCCAGACGCACACCCTCTCTCGCAGTGAGCACCCATCTCCAGCGCCAGAGGGTGCCTCGGCTGCAGTGCAGGGCTCAGTGGGGATGCTCCGGCTGGTGCTCAGCTCACCCCGGGGTTGTCCCGGTGTCCCCTGGGTGCCCGCTGGCAGCCGGTGTCCCCCCCACCGCTGCGGCACACCGCGGCGCGGCACCAGCAGCGCTGCCGTGACTCGGGCTATTTTTAGCAGCGGTGCTCACGATTCCCCTCCTGGGGATGGTATTTATAACGCCTGCAGATGAATCAAACCACCGCCCAGCTCCCCGGGACCCGATCCTACCGGGGGGGGGGGGGGGGCAGCAGCACACAGGGGTCCTGGCCCTGGGCACGGAGAGGGGGTAAGGGTGCCTGGGGAGGAGATGGGGGTCCTGGGAAGAGAATAGGGGCATGGGAGTGCAGATGAGGGTGCTGGGGAGGTGCCAGGGTTCCTTGGGGTGATGGGGTGTAGGTGATGGTCCTGGAGGGATCCTGGGGTGGAGGTGAGGGCAGT